TATGTGAGCTCAAATCTTTTGCAACACAGTAAATGACTTTACTCTCAAGTTTGATCTATTTAATGCATCCAACCTGAATAAAAGTATTAATTTCTTTCAAAACAAATCGTACTGACCACAGACGTTTGAACGGTAGTGTATATCAAATAGTCTGTCTTCCAATGAAAGTGCTTGAGGTTGAATGTCTGCTCTTCAAACAGGATGTCTTTTCAATATGTGAGAGTTCAAAGTGCTGAAGTAGTCTTCAAAGCTCGAAGACTGAGCAAGATGGCAACTTTCAGAGCTAGTCATGTGACTTTGTGTGGGTCAAAGACCTGAATCGCTCTGGTTTCCCTATCCATTGTTGCTCTGGGATTAAGCAGTCAGTGTGTATTTAAATGACAGACGAAGCAGATCGGGGCTGAGGAAGGGAGTTGTTCCTTGCTGTAAAGTCTTCACTCTCGTTTTATATACAGTTCCAGTACCCCCACCATTTCACTCTTTCCTTTCGTCTCAGGGAGTGCAGGCGCATGTCAAGCGATTGTTGAATTGAAATATTGATGTAGAATATCAAAGCATGGGGTATAGCTCCTGTGTTTCCTGAACTAACCGAAAACTGCTTTGATCACAGGCTCCTGTGATCTGACTTCTGAAGTTGTTAAGAGTACTGAAAAACAAAATGCAAACAAACTTCAAGTGCCCCTAGTAATGATAAAAGTTTCTCTGACAAGTAGATTTTTTATTTTCACACATCAATGACGGAATTCCATCTCACATAAATGCAAATGGACAATTGCTGAAAAGATTTCATACACATGCATATATTATAAAAACTTTTAACTTCTTTTTAGCTTTCTCAATCTTTCATTTTTAAGTACATTAAACTATACTTTTAAATGTAAAGACAAACTTAAATTCAAAGTGAAAAATAAAAATACTTCTGACATTTTCTGGTTAATCAGATTATCATATTCAGAACCCTTATTTAAGTTCCTTGACTACAATAGGATAGGATAGGAAAAAAGGATAGAGATTCTGCCAGGAGCCTCCAATGCCTAAAGAATCCTTTTCATTTTGTATTGTGCATTACAGTTAAAAATGCTTATTTGAGCCTTAAATGCGAGCTTATGGTAAATGAATCAAATATTTGTGCCAATCTGTCAATGTTATAAGCCAGACCTAACGCTCAGCATCCTGAACTATCAACATTCCTTGACTCTGTCGTGGTCATTATGAACAGTGCTGTTCCTGATTGCATTGATTAGTGTTTTAGCTGGAAAGATGCGGGGGGGGCAGCAGGTTTTTACATGCACTCTGTCTCATCCATTATACCACATTTGTCAAGTTGGGGGTTTTGAGTCATTTAGTCCATGTGGGGCTGTAAACTGGCTTTTGGAGATGGCCAACAGTACAAAAGCTTGCGGCTGGCTGTTTGGGGTGCAGATGGTCAAGACAGCTGGGACAATTTAGTGATCTGAGACTCTTAAACTGCCCTCCAGACATGCTAAAAAACAGCTTGACAACATGCCTGCCATTGTTTGGGTCATTTTATGAGGACATTGATCTTTGAATGAATGGATTTTGCATTTATGATGGAGAAAAGTAAGACTCTTGCTGTCTGGATCAATAGTAAATTTGTAAAATTATAGATTGTAGAATTAAAATTTAATCTAACTGCTATATACATAAGAATATATTCTCTATGGTAAATTAGGATTAGAATTAGAATGTGAAATTATTTTTAAATTGACATTTAAAAAGGACAAAATGAATCTTGCTAATTTATTATTTACAACCACTATTTAGAATAATATTTAAAAATAAAAATATTATAAATGTTGTGGGGCGAAAATATTAGCTATTAAATAGTTATAAAACTGATATAAACATATCACTATATTCACTCCATTTTGTCATTTTAACCCCCAAAAAATGGTTTTAAGCCATATTTTGCTGTAGTGTCGGTAGGAAATATTAGTTTACATTTCCAAACATTAATTTTACCATTAATTGTAATAATCCAGTGAGATTTTTGTATGCACAAGGAGTCTGACACCAGCCGGTATGATCAGATCTCACCATCACCGAGTCCATATTTGGTAACACCACCCTTTGAGTTTAAAACAGCTTTTGTCCTAGATACACTTCCACATAGTTTTTCAGGTAGGCTAGGTTTCTTCAAGCATTTTGGAGACATTGCAGTTCTTCTGGATTTAGTCTGTTTCTTCATGTAATCACAGATGGACTCGATGATGGTGAGATCAGATCTCAGTGTGGATCATACCAGCTGTTGTCAGACTCCTCGTGCATACAAAAATTGGATTATTACAATTACTGGCAAAAGTAATGTTTGGAGACGTAAACTGGTATTTCCTAGTGACACACTAAAGCAAAAGATATAAACTGGCTTAAAACCATTTTTTTGTGTGAAAAAACTAGCATGCCTAAGACTTTTGCACAGTACTGCATATATATATATATAATGTGTGTGTGTGTGTGTGTGTGTGTGTGTGTGTGTGTGTGTGTGTGTGTGTGTGTGTGTGTGTGTGTGTGTGTGTGTGTGTGTGTGTGTGTGTGTGTGTGTGTGTGTGTGTGTGTGTGTGTGTGTGTGTGTGTGTGTGTGACATACAGGGAAAATATCTTGAATTAATATGAATTTTAAAAATGGACAAAATGGGATATAATACTTTAATAAGAATTTACTAGCATTATTTAAAACAATATTCATCCAAGATTTATATATAGCCTTTATATATATATATAATGTGACAATATTCAGAATATTATACAAATAATAAATAACATGCATTAAGCAATCTCAGATTACGTTTGTTATAAATAATAAAAGTAGTAAATTAGCAAGGTATATAAATCCCATGCACATCCCATTTTGTCCTTTTTAAAAATTCAATTCAGACCATAATTTAAAATCATTTAATTTCAGTTCAAACCATATAAATGTTGGAGCCCAAATGAATGCCTGAAAGGCTGCAGTAAAGCGACTGTGCTCAGGCCACCTAACAGCAGCCGAAACCTCTGTTAAAGGCCGTTCTCCTGATTGCCTGCCATCTCTACAGCTGCCTAATGAAGGCTGGGATCTGTGCTTGCTTTGGAAATGAGTTTTCCCTTGAAAACGGCATAAGCCGTATCCAGGTCTATTTAAATGAGGTAACATGGGGAAGGTAAGCACAACCACTGGAGCATTGTTTGCACAGTTCAAAGTGAGGAGAGCGTACTTTGCACTTCAAAGACACTCATCTGGGAGGCAGTGAGGGGAGTGGGGGTGGGTGGGCTGAAGGAGGGGCGGATTTAGGGGACAGGAAATAAGAATCTGGGTAATTAACAACTTCTGCTCCGTAATAAAGCAAGCAAAAGGAGACGGAAGCAGCCTCCCCTACGTAAAGTGACCAAATATTTGATGTGTTATACCTCCATCCTCTACCTGTTCCCCCTGTTTTTGACTGTTATTTTGTTTTATTAGTATTACACCCCTTAATTGCCCCCATACAGTGCAGGGATGTGCTGCTGCTTATTATGTTATGTTTAAAATTCAGTCTCTCTAATGTGATTTTTACACAGAGCAATAATTTTGCAGGTTAATTTTGGAGAGAGGGGATGTTGTTGATTTGTTTATACATGTGTTTTATTTATTAATTTGTTTTTATTTTAATGAACTCAGTCAGCAGTCAAATGATCTCTCTCTCATATATATATATATATATATATATATATATAATTTCTCATTGAATAACATTAATGTTCTCTTCGTCTCTCTTTCAATGTGTGAATGAAACCAATAACTCAGTGTATAAACAGTTATTAATAGACTACAAAGGCTAGTTTTTTTTAAAAAATACATCTTTCGAGATACTACATTTAAAACATTAAATACATTTTTTTTTAAACTTCTTTTTTTTTTAAACAACTCAATTGGACTGATTACAAGTCGACGCATGTATAAGTTTAGCACGTTTCCTACGTGTCATCTCATTTCTCCATCGCTGTGGTATATTTTAGCAGACTAAAGCAATGCATCTGCTGGGACAAAGGTCGATTGTTATGCGACTAGGTGAGAGGCAACACAAAGCAGTGAGGATTTTCTATGTATTAAGATGTTAAATGGCTTTCCGACTTCAATGTAAATTCTCTTAGAGAAAGACTCAAAGTGTTAGATGAACTTTGGATGCTCTGCATTTAATCCCTTTAAATGTGATGACGCCCTTAACTTGAACCCGGAGTGTGAAAATGTCACGCAGGGCTCTTTATTTATAATATCACTTAGAGTGCGAGCTAGTGCGCATGGACATTTATTTCACTTGTCTTGTTTGAAACTTTTACAAGTTGGTTTCTGATTACCTGGTGTAGCTTCTTCATTGTCTTTTATTAACGGGACGAGAATAATAGCCCAATTCGATCGTCTTCAAACATCATTTGGCGTCTTAATACGCCATTTTCCCAGAATGATCGGTTAACTAACAGAACAGCTCCTATCAATAGACAGATTAACAGTTAGTGTTGCTCATCAGAAAGAAAGATCAAATACTGTCGAACTAATCTGCATAAAATACTTTCAAAAGTTTTAGTCACTTTAAACCGCTAAAAACATTATTTCAACATATTAGGCTAATTCCCAGTAAATTGTTAGAAACATGTCACTTTTTCATAATATGTATCAAATAATTTATTTTCATTTTCCTTTTTAAATGCACTTCAACTGTACTTTGCAGTCAGCTAAAATAGAATATATAAGTTTAAACTGATGCCTTAAGTAATTAAAAAAAAAATTTTTAAACGTTACTGGCTCGTTGCACTTGATGGAAAAAAATCAGGTTGAAACTCTTAAAATAAAGTAGAAATTAATGTGACAAGTTAAATAAATGGAAAATTATGTTGGCATTATTGAAGTTGTTTTAATGATTGTAACAAGAAAGTAGGTTCGTTTCGTTCTTAATTTATGACAAAAGATTCAAGAACAAGTGTTAAACTTGTAAACATGCAAAACAAACTTTTTCATTTTAGACTCTTCTCACCAACAACCGGTAAAGGAAAGGAACTCTCTCACGTTCAACATTTGGCTAAATTAAATTAGAATAAAATGAAGGTTATAGTACACCCCTCTTCCTAATCTCTCAAAGATTGCCCTCCCCAATATTCCCCCACCGCATCTCTCCTCCATTCACTGGCCCTCCTGATACATACTTAAGAGACCCCGTCGAGAGGATCTTTTCCCTATAAAGAGAAGATGCGATCCGAGCGCCTTTGAAATGATCCTCAGGACTTATTGCGACAGGCCCTTCAGTCGCACTTCAAAAGGACGAGTCTTGAAAGCCGCTGCTTTTTAAAAAGGGACCCAGAAAACCAGCAGCAAGAGCGCGGAGTGGCCAACGACTCTTACAGCCGATAAAGGACAGGAGTAGCAAGAGCGAATCGATGGATTATTGATGAGAACTATATCTAAACTCATGCACCGGTAACCTGACTGTGTAGCGGGGTCAATCCGAGCAGGATCTTTGCGCGCCTCCTCGCCCTCGTACCCGCGCACTCTGACTTTGGCTCGGTTACGCACTGTGCGCCGCGCTTTTACGCAGGTGTGGATATTTTGAAGATCCAGTGCACACATGGCTGCGTTAACCTTATCCAGAGCGGACAATTTCCTGCACAATTTCTTACAGGTACTGCACTTTAATTTGTTTTATCGTGCATTTTTCGAGTACATAGAGAGACTTTGGCACAATCACATCTCCAACTTAGAATTTTTTTTTTTCTGCATAGCTCTATTTTTGGTTCAGTTCATTAATTTCCTTTCTTTCTTTCTTTCTTTCTTTCTTTCTTTCTTTCTTTCTTTCTTTCTTTCTTTCTTTCTTTCTTTCTTTCTTTCTTTCTTTCTTTCTTTCTTTCTTTCTTTCTTTCTTTCTTTCTTTCTTTCTTTCTTTCTTTCTTTCTTTCTTTCTTCTGTAAAAATGTATTGACATAAGTTTAATTGCTGCACTATTCTATTATTAAATAGAATAAAAAATCTATTTTCAGTTTTTACTATTTTTGTATCATACAATTATTATAATTATGTTTTTTTTTTTTAAATTTCATAATTATCCAAAATAACAATAAATACAAATAAGGCAGCAATTAAACTTATTTTGTTATACAGTGATTCTGTATGCAAGGATGAAGGTTGATTTAGTCACAATTATTTGTTTTCTCCCCTCTAGGATCGTACTCCCAGCTCCTCTCCAGAGAGCGGTCCTAACACCCTTTCTTTTTTGGCCACCACATGCAGTCAGGCTTGGCAGGAGGGGTCACAGCTCCCTTACGAGGGTCCCGTGGGCTCTGCTACCAGCATGTTTCAGCTCTGGAGCAATGATGTGGCCCCTAACTCCAGCTTGAGCGCTCACCAGATGACCTTTACCATGCCCAAAATGCAGTTCCCCGGCCACATGCAGCCCACCCTGGGCTCGCACGCCCATCATCACCATCATCACCACCATCACCACCACGAGCTGCCCCTCACACCTCCGGCCGAGCCCCCTTCTGCCTACTCGTTCGAGCTGTCTCCGGTAAAGATGCTCTCCTCCCAGACGCAGGGGAACGCGGCGTACTACGCGCAGCACAACGCTGTGGGTCAGAACTTTCCCAGCTTCCTTCAAAACGCTTCAGGAAGACCTCACCTGCCCGGCGGGCACGTCGAGGACGGCCAGCAGTGGTGGAGTCTCCCTCAGACTAGCAGCGCACCCTCCAGTCACCCCTTTTCTCTGGGACGGCAGCTGGTTTTGGGCCACCAGCCTCAAATTGCTGCACTTCTGCAGGGCACCTCAAAGGGTCTGTTGAGCTCCACTCGTCGCTGTCGCAGGTGCAAATGCCCCAACTGCCAGTCCTCGGGAAACGGAGGTGCTGCTCTAGAGTTCGGGAAGAAAAGACTGCACATTTGTCACATTCCAGATTGTGGCAAGGTTTACAAAAAAACCTCTCACCTGAAGGCGCACCTGCGCTGGCACGCCGGCGAGCGTCCCTTCATCTGCAACTGGCTCTTCTGCGGGAAGAGCTTCACACGCTCAGATGAGCTGCAGAGGCATCTCCGCACACACACCGGGGAGAAGCGCTTCGGCTGTCAGCAGTGTGGGAAAAGGTTTATGCGGAGCGATCATCTCTCCAAGCATGTGAAGACCCATCAGAGCAGGAAGAGCCGGTCCGGTCAGCCCGCTCACAGTGGGACTGATGCACTGCTAAGCAACATCAAGAGAGAGTAGAGAAGGCAAAATGCAAAAGAACTCAATATAGTATCCGGAATGAGACCAGAGACCTTACAAGGACGTTTGCGTCATCTTAACAGATATTCCAAACAGCAATAGGGACATGGGCCTGTTTCCATTGTACTTTATTTGAAAACACTGGAGCGAACGCACACGATGCTGCACCGAAACCAACCTTTGAGATTTTAAAGAGACTTACGGTCACAGCAGAAGTTCTCTCATTGTGATATATCTAATAAAAGTGACATTTTGTTATGGCTCTGGATGCAAAGACTTCGCCCTTGCACATTTATTTAAAGATTTTAATTCAAAAGCTACAGGAAATTCTTTGAACAGCACAATTACATGTATTTGTTACTTGGTGAAACTGTCATTTGTTTACATTTTGTTGTTGCTTTATTGGTATTTTGTTTTAGGGGGAATTGATGCCTTATGTTGAAATCGTAAATTCTAGTTGCAAAATTTGCCAACACTATTCCCTTTCTTGCAGAGAATGGCACTGATATAAATATCAGTCGAAATCTTAATCCCTAGAGTTTCAAAACACGAACCACATGTATATAATGTTTATACAGTGCACAGTTCTATGAAGACCAGCATGTGAAATATTAATAAACATGAATAACTCTGCAAATCAAAATCTTGTGCTTTGTTTTGTTCATTCCTTCATAGCAAAAATTCCATTTAATACCTTGTCAAGCACCCTTAGTTTGTTTTAACAGATGTGTGAAGTTCAGCAAATGGCTAATGTTAAATCTAACGCGGTGTGTCGAACCTCAGCGTTTTGCATTTATTCAAATGTTAATGTAATAGCATTCAGGATGCTAATTTGAGATGGCCATTGTTTCTAAGGTGTCGAGGAAGCACTTAAAGGAAAGACAAATGATTGGAGAGTCTTCAGACATTTTACAGTTGTCAGTAAAGTCGGGCCATTCATGGGAACAGTGGTCTGACCTTCTCCCATCAAGTTCACAGTCATGTTGTCTCGTAATTGCCTGTGTAAATAACAGACAACAGTTACGCTCCACTGGAGCTCAATGTGAATGGACCCCCAGCTGTTTATATCCCACTGGCCGCGACAGAAGTCACTTTGATTTTGCACCTTTGTGATAGTGAATGCTTAAAACCCCTCTCCCCCATCTGTGTGTGCAAATGAACCCTTTACTGCTCAAGAATGCCCAGAATGTGACTTAAAACAAGAGACAAATGAACCAGATGTCTGCATGTGTTGACTAGATTACCTAGCCAGATCTCAGAAAGCTCACTGATTTGGAGGATTGTTTTTCTTCATCAGTATGATTTTAGTACATTTCTACCCATAACCAAACCAAAGCATTAATGACTGTGAAGGTTTTCATCTATCTAGGTCATCATAAAGTGTCTGATGGAGTTTAATCATAAGCATTCTGGTTAAACTCCACTAGAACCTGCATACCGGGGCAAGTTGTCACAACAACCAATAGGTTTTGAGTCAAAAAGTCTACACACTAATGTTTGTTTTCTCTACCAGAGATTTTGTATGTTAGTTTTAAACACCTAGATCAAAAAGAGTCTAAAAATCTAATAATTCCTGTGAATTATTTTTTGTAATATTTCTTGTATAAACTCATTTCCACAGTAAAACCACACTAATAAAGGATATAATTAAGATTGCCCTGTTTTAAGGGCAAGAATATTTTTCATAATATCAGGGCAAGTTGTCACGTTTAATGCATGTTTTAATACACAATTTATTATTACAATGTTTAGTTATACTGGAAAAGTTTGCTGAATAATAGGCCATAACAGACTGTTTAATGGCAGGTTTCATTGTGACAACTTACTCCATTTAGTGTGACAACATGCCCCCTCTATAGTGTTCAGTAAACTATCTTGGGTCTTTTTGTAGGTTTTTTGTGTGTACAGAAACAGAAATAATCCTACTTTGAGAAATATTTACATGTGACAACTAGCCCCGGTCTCCCCTATATCAGAAACACACATCCTAAACATCATCACACAGCAAACTACAGAGAAAACAGCAGAGAAGGAAACATTGTGTGTTCTAAAACACCCTTGCGTTCCAAAAGGAACCAGTTTAATTTGATATAATACAATGGTTTTGTCACATAGACATGGATCATGTCCAATTCTTTCTCTACATCATTTCCTTCATCATTTAGAGGTGTTCTTCAAAATAGCATGCAACAATGTAAGATTCAAACCCACATTTGTGGAAAGGCAGTACAGGAAAGCTTTCAGTTTATACAGGGATATGTCAAATTATTTGATTTCTGCTGATTTGAATATTACGTCAAGGCAAGAGAAGGTTGTTACAATCATTTTAAGGATATTTAAGCGAATGCATCTGAAACATGCCAACAAGTAAAGCATATGAGCTTTGGTGCAGAGTTTTGAATTTGAAGTTTTAAATTGATCTGTGGAAAAAAGAAGGAAAAAAAGAAGACTGATTGGTTGTGTAAACAGAGCTAAAGTCCTCTGGCACCCTCTCTTGGAAAGAATGTGCAATGAGCTAAATGGAGCGAAAGTGCTTTCTGATCATGCTTCAACATCAAATACCAAACACATTCCATCCCTTCTTTGGCGAGGCATCTAACATTTTATGACAAACCGTATGTTTCAGACTCGATTAACAATGTCAATACTCTTTTTTACTAATGATTTAGTTTGTCACTAACAAATACATTTTAAAAATAAAAATAAAACAACACAACAAAACACGGAGAAAACGAAAAAAGAGACATCTTTAGCTTTTTCCTTAGTTTTTATGAGAACATTTTCCCCCAAATTAAGCAAGTGTTTTAGATGAAACTGAAACTGAATAACATTTTACGCTTGATAATTCATTCATTTTCTGTAAAGGGTATACTGGCACCTGCGTTTGGCACATAATGATATAACATTTTACCTTTGGCCTTCATTAAGTTAATAACAACAACAACAATAATATTAATGGTTTTATAATTATCATCATCATCTAATATAATTTGGAAACCTCATTTTGTATCGAGAGACCTGCAGAGTAATCCAGGCAGTGAGCGTCAAATGAGGAGGGGGCGGCAGAAGCTAAAACGGGTCATTAAACCACAGATAAAAAAATATTATGCGCCATCTTCTTCTGCCATAACAACTGCTGTCCATCTTTCAGTCCTTCCCTTGAGCGAGTCCTCCTGCTCAACAAGGCAAATGCTCGTTGTGTGTGATCTCTTATGTCCACCTTGTCCAACATTGATCTTAGAGAATTCAAACCCCCAATCAGCGAAGAGAAAGTCAAGCGTCCGTGTCTCCATGCACAGATCATTCCGCTACATACGGTATATACAAATTTAGCTGCATTTAGAGTCTGTTTCCCCTTAGCTCCTTCATAAGAGTTTACGCAGCCCACGAGAGCATTCAATATAGGTGGGAGAAAGACAGCTTCTGTAAAGAGGCACCGATAGTGCGAAACCTTTGAAATCCAGCGTGAGCCCCCTAAGGACTCTCTTATGTTTGTAATAATACAGTATGTTCTCTGCAAAACACATCTGATGGAAAATGTTCAGCATGTTTGCAAGGATGAAGCCATCAGAATTTAGCACACAAACACACACTCAAAAACATACATACATGCACGCTTGCCCAAACGCATCCTCACACCCTCAAATAAAGGTTTACTCTGGTTCCTGCTCCAGTGACCTCCCAATATAGGAATGGTTGATTCTCCTTTGAACAAAACACAACTTTAGTAAAAAAAAAAAAAAAAAAAAAAAAAAAAAAGAAATTATGTAAAACAATTTAAAAAGTCACTAGGAAATTCACGTCACAGGTTCAGGAAGACTACCACAAGATAACAGACGTGAATAAAGTCCAGACTGTGGCATGCTCTGGTGCAAACATCAGATTCAGGGTCATTTCCATTCACAGGTCGTCCTCATCAAGCTGGGCCAAGTTACTGGAGCGCTGAAGAGTAGAGGAGGGACTAGGAACAGCCATGCGTCCCTCTCTCGATGAAGCTCTGCGTCCACCCTCTCCTGAGATCTGGACACAGTGGAGGAAAAAAGGCCATTTCTGCCACTGATGGTTTATTTTTCTCAACAGCACATTATTAATATTATGATTCTATGGAAGCCTGTTTTAACCTATTGTGAATTTGTTTTTAATGTACAAATTGTACTTCATAATGTAAGATGTAAAGTCACAATCATAAGATATAGTCACATTTATGAGAAACAAAGCCGCAATTGCAAAACACAGTCACATCGTGAGATATAAAGACGCAGTTACAAAAAATAAAGTTGCAAGGATAAAAGATAAAATTGCGAGATATCGTCACATTGCAAGGTATAAGGTCGCCATTGTAAGTTAAGTCGCAATTGTGAGATATAAAGTCACCCTGTGGGATATAAAGTCACATTTACAAGAAACAAAGTTGCAATTGTGAAATATAATATTATGAGACATAGTGACTGAGACATGAAGTCATTTTTATGAGAACGTTTACGTGACAATGTTTTTTTCTTTGTACAGATGACAACATTGTCAAAATGATCCCCGCTCACACGGATCCATGAAACCGCTGTATTATTCATGCCAGGCCAGTAGTTGGCGATGAACTTTGTAAAGAAACACTATACGTGCCTATAGACTGAACATTTAATACGTATGCGAATGACGTCACCATTTCACAAATTCGCGGTTTTGTTGTTTACACAAAGGCAATAACGGTATCAGTTTTCAAAAACTTGAACTTTGAAACCCGTTTTCAAAACTTTTCCAGGCCCCCAAAAAGCCGTTGACGTGTAAATGAACGGTCAAAACGAATGAAACGTTTTTAGTTGAAAACGGTGTCGTGTACGACTTTTTAGAATCTAAGTCACAATTGCGAAATATAAAGTCACAATTGTAAGAAAGTTGCAATAACAGGATACAAAGCCATAATGTGAGACAAAGCCATTTATTAGAACATAAATAAAGTTGCAATTGGGATATATAACATCTCAGTTACCTTTTTAACACTCACAGGCTTCCATAGGCTTCAAATTTTTCCCCACACAATTCATGTGAAATCTTCATTCATGAATATATAAAGGTTTGTGATGCGTGACAGCTAAGAAATTCTCGCCTATTCCCCAAGCAGAGAATAATGAGCTGTCACGAGCCGAGCTTATGTCTAAAAATGGCTGAAGAGTTAATTACCAGGAACAGCCTAGGATATTAAGAGTAATATTTTTGTTACAGGGTTTATGACATGACTAAAATCAGCATGACTTGAATATCATAACGAGAGCTTCA